CTGGCACCGTGCACTTTACCTGACTCCCCCCACGCTGGGCCTGTCCCCCCTCCCTCCTTCCAGCTGCCCCCGCTTCCTTAGTCTCTCGTTCCTCCCTCAGCTCAGTACTGCTGCTACTTCATTCTCGTTCACGGGTCTACGGCTCTCTCCTCTTCCTGCTTCACCTATAGACTAACAGGTACCCAGCCTCTGGGATCCCATCACCACCAGAAATACTGGCCTCTCCCATTTATCTGTCGTGCGCTCCCCCCCATCCACCTTTCCTAGGATTCAAAGTCCCTGAAAAGCACCGCAGCAGTGCTCAACCTGTTGTCCTCTGCGCTGTGCCACAGAGCATGCTGCAATTTTCTGGCAGGCTCTTCACATCCCAGACGGTCTGCAAACTCTGCCAGTTAATGAAGGGCTCTGTCGCTCTGGCAGGACGTATTGCTGTCCTTAACATCGACCGCCATGAGGACAGACTCACTGTCCGGAGGCTCTGATAATAGGATTTCAAGAGATGCTTTCCCTTAATCTGTCAAAAAAACATTTCATCAAATAACTGTGTGGGTAACCCAGCCCCCCTCCGATTATAACCCTGCATCTGGCATATAATGAAGAAAGCACTCAGGCGGCTGAGTCACTGTACATAAAGACATATTGCGGAAGATGCTTTGCAATACATCTAACTACTTTTACCCCTAATTATATAAATTTGACAGGTTAGTCATTACATTACTGAAAGGAATACGAAATGCATTTTAAGTGTAGAAAAACAAACCTTTGTAACTTGAGGTTCCTTGCAAGTCAAACACGATGGATTGGGTTGAACTGCTAGTTTCCGGAGAACGCTGCAGCGTATCCGTGCCGTTCTTCGGCGCTTCCTTCCAGTGAGTTGACCATGAGTTGCCAGTAAGCAAACAAAAGGCTGCCAGTCTCACATTTCACTATAAGTCAAATATATCCTGTGCTCTATCATGGGGTCCAATCCCAAGCTTTCCACATCAGCCCACTTCAGAGTGAGCTTCTGAAGATTACACTAACACGCCTCCTTTACAGCACACATCTCGCATGACATGAAAACGTTTGCCTTGACAAGAGCTACAGATCTGAGCCTCCGCTCTTAATAATTCCCATATACTCACTGAAGATGCTCTTTGCGTGTGTGCGTGTGTATAAGAAAGAACAAGAACAAGCAGGGAGCAGTGCAAGCACATCAAAAAGCAGTGGCTCTGAGGCTGGGGGGGCTGCAGAGCACCCTGAAGGCAAGGTGTTTCCAGGAGGAGCACAGGACACCTCGCCGGTGGAGGAACGGGCTGAGGACGGAGCAGTGCTAAGCTGATAGAGATGAAAAAAAAATACACACACACACACACACATATATATATATGTAAATGATGGAACAGCTGCTTGACCACCCTTACTTACCTCGCATCCGTAACAGCTAGCTATGCGCTATGCCAAAACACTGGCCTATTCCCTCACCCATATTTGCCTTTGACTTCAGCGGCTGCCGGCCCAGGCCCCGAGGCTGCCCTGTCCCCAGTGCCGTGCACTCTCCCACGTTCCCGTCAGGCCATCTGAAAGGAGGGCATTGATGTGCCTCAATAATGCAGCCATTACCAGTGCGATACGGAGACGGATCAATCAAAGGCAGCAGCACAGCAGCCAGAGTCAGAGGATTCCAAAATTGAGGTCAGACTCAATAACTCTTAGACAGATGCCAAGAGACACACACACACACACACACATAATATATACAGGAAGGCAAATTTTAACTGTGCAAACCTAAAACTGTCACTCGCAGTGACGGACTGGACGTGTTTTGGCAACAACTGTTATTTCCTCCCCCATTTCCACCCCTTGCCTCAGCGTCAGCAGTGGCATAGGGTGCCTTTGGCCTGGTGGTCTGATGCTCACCGTCCCCTTAACACTCAGCCCTCAAATTTTACAGTGTGAGCCCTGTAAACGGGTGCCCCGTTGCTTTTCTGTGCCCTCGGAGGATATTCCCCTGCTGCAGAATACCTCTCCCTAGGGGAGGCCCATTTTGTGAATAAGTCCCAGCTCCCGGGTTAATCAGGTGCAAGAGAGCTTACTCAGGCTAAACACTCAAAACACAACTGAACGCTCATCAGAAGGGATGAGGCAACGGGCAGCTGCCCAGGGAAAGGCCCTGTTTATACTAGTGCTTCACTTTGGTTGAGCTTGATGTTGCTGCTGTGGGTTCACAGACTCTGACATGAAGGCAGAGAAGCCAGAGATTTTCCTAGTTTATGGTGCTGGACTTGCACCAGGGAAAATAAAACCCCCGTAAATCCACTTGAAACCACAGTTTGGCTCAACTGTCTCGGATGACCTTGACTTCCCGTGCATTTTCTCCTCTGTTGTTTGGACTCTAAGCTACTACAAACGAACCCTGTGTCACATTATTAGTAATTACGTGCATCATACTACCTTTAAAAGCCCTTTCTGATACAACACCCCACTGCAGTTACAACGTACAATTAAACACGGCAAAGACAGCTGAGGTTGGTGGCAAACGGCAAGCCTGATTTCGAGATCAAACTCTGAAGCAAACACCCAAAATGCACCTCCAAACTTCCGGCCTCATGACGCGCTAAGTACATCCAGCTAGCAAATACTCTCCGAACGCTGGCAATGCATTTCGCCTTCCCCTTCTGTCACCACACTACGCTGCTGACAAATTCCTCCTGGCGGCCCTTAAAAAGAGAAATGATTAAAAATATATCTTTAAGTATTCGAAGGTGTCTTACATTACATTAAAGAGCATGAATTAGATAAGGGTTTAACTAGGACGAAACTGTGCAATTCACAAGCCTTTTCACTCCCTGCCTACGCCAGCCTGGGGCTGGGGGGCACAGAGGTGCCACGTAAAAGCCGTGTGAGGCAGAAGAGGCATGCTGCCTTGCCTGCTGGACGCTCACAGAAACGAAGCCTGGTCAGGAGTTGGCCCTGCGCTGGGTTCAAGCCCTTGGTACCGTCTCCCTCCGCAGAGCGCTACACGGTGTGCCAGGACTCGGGCTGCAGCCCTGGGCTGATGTTTGTGCTAAGTTAGAGTGCAAGGGCAGGATTCAAGTTTCCAGAGAAGTCGAGTTTTGTGTGTGAAAGCACACAAACTACGGAGCCTCCTGATGTTCAAGCACAGACTAAGATGCCACAGAATAAGCTACAGTAACTCTTCCGAGCTGCAAGTGTACGACATTGACAGCAAGTGCCCACACCAGAGATTTTGCAATCTAAGCAAACAGTGTGAAAAAAGCACAGGAGGAGAAAACGAGGCCATAAAGTGCTGACTGAACTAACCTCGCACAGCAAGAGCTCTCTTGTTCCCCAGGCAAGTGCACTTCCCCGGCCCCACTGCCTCCTCTAGACACGCTGCCCCAATTTCATAAGCGCTGCTGCCCAACCTCCTGCCTCAAGAGTGACATGAAGATACGCTCATGCAACGCCAGCCGACAGGCAGCACTAGCTTCCTGCCTCCTGCTACGCGCTGACTGCAAACTCTTCGGTTAAATGTTCAGGTCTCTCTAAGATATCGACCACTGCTCACGGCCTAAGCTTCGTGCATGCTTTCCTGTATTTCTCTTTGTAACATCCTTTCTAAAGAGGGGATATTCCTCTTTATTTTGTACAGTTATTTCCACTCCTTGATGCGTACGGGCATGGGACTTGCTCAAGACCGTGTGAAAATCTGTGGCAAAGAGGAGAAACGAACCCAGTTTTTCCAAAGCCCAAGCCAACACCTAAGAACTGCAGCATCTTACCTTTGGGATTGCTGTACAGCTGTTCAGGCTTACTTGCTGGCTAAGCACACTACAAAGTTAGGTTCCAGCAAAGAGAAGAGATCTTGCTATCATCCTCCCAAACAACCATAAAGAACGTGTTCACCCAAATGCTTACAAAGATTTCTCTTACCTTTGGCTTGCAAGTTTTTGCTAGCCACAAGAAGAGACTCTTAAAATCTAAATCTATTTGCTTTTAGCAGAGGTATTCACTTCTAGCACAAGTGCTTATTAAATCACTTCAGGGCCTGAGAGACTTAAAATTCTCCAGCTGCTGAGAAATTATGGATAGCATCTCAAAGCGCTGTCAACAGCCAACAAATATTGCTAGAAAGATCTCCTTAGCATGCATGGATGGATGCATCAAGGGCAGTAGTGTTTGTACAAGAGAAATTCCTCTTGTACTATGTATGCATCTGGGGTTTAAAGCGGGAACTCTGCACAGAAAGAATTAGCGTTTACTTCTAAAACAGGAAACTTGCTTTGACGCAATCTCGTTTTGACACAATCACACTTTTTTTCCAAACAACAAGCCAATCCCTAAAATCCGAGTGCAGTTTACAAACGGACAAAACCCCAGTGAGTATACAGTGAAACATGCCTCGGCAATGGTAAACAAGCGCTGACGCTGAATCATGGTATTCTCGGTCAGACCGAGTAACACGTTATTCTGCAAAGCGCTGGTGGGTTTCAAGAAGGTGTTGTTGTTGTGAGAAATACCAGCAGAATCCGGCCTTCACATACACAAACACACAGGAGAGAAGGGGACTCTCTGCACACAACACCTGAACGTGGTTTCCCACCTTCTCCCAGTCCTGAGTACGCCAGCACGTGCTCTTGACCCCAGTGAGGTGACCTCCTCCCACAAACCACCCTGAGCCACCAGCACATGTTTCCTGAAGTCATCTCAGAGTACGGCTCAGAAGCCTGAATTAGGATTAGAGGCTGGCCATGCAAACCCGTATAAAGATACGTCACTTGCCGTGAAGAGCTAGCGCTCTTCAGAGCTCACCTCCAGCTCGCTCCCTCGTGTCAGTGCTGCCCCGTGCCCTGCAGGATGGCTGGCAGGCCACCAAAGGAGCTCCTGCAGAAGGAGCTGCCCTGGCTCCTGTCTCAGCCAGCAAGCATTGCACCAGGGGGAAACACAATCCAGCAGTCTGCAGAGCCATGCGTTTCAAGGCCAGGCCCCAGTGAGGATGGCGAGGCTGGATGTGTTACCTGCAGTCTCCCTGTCCCCCGTCGACAGCTCCCCGTTGATGCCGTTCTCTTTGGTTTGAGAGTATGCGCCCTGCTGCTCCCGTCCGCCCAGCCCTGGCTCCTCGTCCTCACGATAGGGAAATCCATTGGCACTTCTGACCAGGCCGGCACCCGCGCCACCTTGGTCCTTAAGTTCAGGTGAGTGTGGGTGTGAAGCAGCCTCTGTGAGCTGACTCGAAGTCCAGTGCGGTGCCTTGGCTTCATCTTTTCTCTCCTCCGCCATGTTTCCTCTCCTTCACTGCTTGCCCTGTAACGACACGAGCAGGGGAGATGAGCACGGGCTTATCCCTGGCTCGCAGGCGGCAGCCTGGACCCAGCGCGCGTCCACCACCCCACGGCACGGCCAGGCAACTCCACCGGCACCTGAGACAAGGTTTAAATGCCAAAGTGCCTCTGCTTGTGTGAGTGAGCTGCTTTAAAACCGAGTGAGCTGCTTTAAAACCACAACTAATAACAATTATGGGTCAAACTCTGTATGATGCCTCTGTGCCTTGCAATTATTAGCACGAGTTTCTTGAGGGTTGCCCTTTTGTTAAACTGATTTTAACTCGTTAATTGCAGTTAAATGCAGGCCCACTTAATGAGAAGTGAGTCAAGCTTCATAATGACATCTTCCAGGGGTGATAAAAGGGAAGAAGGCAAAAATTGTTTCAGGGTAGCTGCTATTAAAAAACCGCCAGTGCAGCTGCAACAGCAGGCTGAGTCCTGAAGCAGGCCTGCAGCAAAGAGGCCGCTCGGCAAGCACAGACCAAAAAGATGATGTGTCCTCTGCGGAGCCTGCAGGCTGCTGCTAGCCCTGAGAGAAACCACGTTTGGGAACGTTCACTGGGTTCCTGCACATATGTGCTACTTGACCCTGTTTATATCCCTTCTTACTTGCTATTTTGTGAACATTCACACTCATTCCCTTTTGTCCAAAAACAGCGCGTGGGGAACAGTTGTTCTTCACACAAGCATTTGCACTCTCTTATGACTATCAGTATTTATACATAAACAAAACCAATCATTATTTGTTACTTCGCATGTCTTTTACTCCTGTTAATAAGCCAAGCCAGGAAAAGAAGCCGCTGTACGAGCCACAGGCTTCGGCTATACCTCACAGAAAAGCAGAGTGGAGGCTCCTAAATATATAAGCGTAGTAAAACAATACATTGCAATCTGTATTTTGATGATAAGGTAACCTTGGCGGGGTGGGGGGGTAATAAAGGCTTGATTTAAGCTAGCTATATCGAAGTAAAGACCAGCAGGCCATTTCTGAAAGCACGTGCCACATTTTTTGACCTGTGAGGGGGGAAAAAAAAATAAAAGAAACAAATCAAAGAACACAGTCAATCAGCTACACATCAGAGAGGCTGAGCAGTCTAGAAAAGAAGGCAAAAAACTGGAGGTCACCTATATTCTGCAGTTATTTAATAAAAACAAAAATAAAGAGCAACTATTTCCATGAAACCGGATCAGTCTGCAACAAACCTCTGAACAGGGCAAAAAGCTACATTTGTTTTTGATAATTATTCACAATTGATCATACAACCTCCTCCTGATCAGGTATTATTATTTAATAATAATGGCTTTCAGAGCTACTTTTACTTTAAACTAAAAAGTCATGGTGAATCACGAATATTAGATTTCATTCACAATAAAAATGTCACTCAAACGATTTAATTCCTCATGATGGGACTAACAGACGCACATGCTCACCTGCCCTCTACCCTCCCTGAGAAATCACAGAAGGGTTGAGGATGGATCTGGAGATCCATCTAGTCCCACCCCCCCGCTCAAGCTGCGTCACCTAGAGCACATAGCCCAGGATTGTGTCCAGACGCGTCCTGAATATCTCCAAGGATGGAGACTCCACAACCTCTCTGGGCAACCAGGTCCAACCCTCAGAGGAAAGAAGCTTTTCCTTCAGGCTGTTTTGGGAAGAGACAGCCAGCACGCTCCACGTCCCTTTGCCTTCCCCTCCTCCTTCACCCCTAAGAGGAGGCTTGTCGGTGAGGGACTCTGCCTATGCAGCGAAAGCCTTAATGCAGTCACCTCAAATCAGAGCAGGAGAGCTGACGGGGGAGCTGTGGAGGAGAGAGCCCGAGCAGGGTGAAGATCATCTCCTGTCTACCACCAAGGAGACAACTCTCTGCCTCTAGGCCTGTTTCCTGCACGACACTAGAAAACACGTCCCGATCAGAGCCTTCTCCAGAACGTGAGGCCACCGGACATGTATCTCCCTCCGTACAGGACTGAGCTAACTCAAAGCTTTGCCCCACCAACCCAGTATATTTTGAACCCACCTGAGGCAGCAAGAACCTGTCCATCAGCTTCAGCAGCTAAACCCCAGTCACGCCCAAAGAGGAGCCCAGAAGCACTGCCGTGCGAGGGTGATACAAAACCCGATTAAGGGGAACGCGTTTCTGAAAATCACTTGCATGAAAGCAACGGTTATTGGCCCCCTGCAACAGTTCTGAGGTTATTATCTCCGAAGTGCCCTTTGCCGCTCGAGGCAGACGCCGCCTCCTTCCCGTTGAGCTCTTGAGGAAGGATATTCACATCCTCACAATGGACAGTGCCACACAAGTCCTCTGTGCAAGTAACAGAAGTGCTTTTCTCTTTAAAAATAAATATAGTGGGCAGGCTTCAATGAGCGCTGTGTGTATCTGGAGGCAGAATTTGGCTCAGTATTTGTAATAGATGGTTACAGAGCGAAACATGGATGAATTCATTCTTGACTCTCTTATTCATCAAGTGCTCTCACAGTTTATAACGCGAGGAGAAACACTGCGAGTGAGTCACAAGGCAGCTTTGTCCCCGGCTCTTCAGCAGCAACTGTCTGTTGTACATGCTGACTCCCGCAGGACCCCGGTTCAAACCCTGAATACACACGAGTACTCAGTACCATCAGGGCAGCTGTCTTTCACATCATTTAATTAACTTACTGTGGAATAAAATTAAGCAGGTAATTCAAATATTGACACACAAATACGGATTGCAGACAAGTATTATGGCAGTATTCGTAATAGTATTAGACACGCAAGAAGAAATTCAGAATAGTTTTGACGGTATAGGGCAACATCACTGCAAGCAAGCAAGAAGTTGTTTTCCTCTTTCCTCTGTGTTTTCTTATTCTTTGCATAAACGGCAATGAAAACATCAGACAGGAGTAGGATCCTCTCAAAACGTCACGCTTGTAATTTTTAAAATGTCTGCAAAATTGTAAAACGCAGATGTCGAAGCCACCCCAGCGACCCCAGGCTAAGCAGCTGCACAGGCGAGCGCCGTCCTGCCCTCGGTGCAGGCTGGGGCTCGGCACCGATGGCTACGTGAGGCCGGGCTACGACAACCTGCTCACCTCGAAGCTGCTTGGAGCCGCCGGCGCAGCCCC